TTTGTGGGCGTTGGCGCGATGTCTTTTTCCGACAGCTTGCCTGTGTTCCGTAGCAGGGCAAACAAAGCTGGACTGAGTGAAAGCGATGTCACCGCCCTAGAAGCAGCGGGTGTTGACAGCCTTGCCAAAGTGGCGTTTATTTCAAACTACGCACCGGGTGCAGCCAGCGATGATGCGCTGATGGATGCACTCAAACACACTTTGCAAGTCGATACTCCGTCCTTGGGCCAGAAGGCTAGCTTCCGGCGTCTTTTTCACGAGGCGTATGCGCTCGCCACGACAGAGATGAAAGCTCTTGTCGAAAAGACAGATGATGTTTCAGTGAGGCGCCTCAGCCAACCGGAACGCGCAGAGCGCTATGAGCGGGTTTCGCAGAAGCTCAAGGGTTTGGTGCTCAAGGGCAGAAATGAACCTTCAGACAGCCTGGATGATTTTTGTGTTGCCCAGTATGACGATAACCGTCTGAAGTATGTAGCCTGGGAGCGGTGCACGTTCAAAGACCAAGAGTTGACAACTGAGCTCAAACGCGACACGTCCTTTCAGGTGGACTCGGTGACGGGAAAGCTCAAGGTTGAGGCAAAGAGTCCGGATCTCCGAGCTGACACCTCCTCGGAGATCATGGTCCAACAGGCTCTTTTCCGAAGGGGCATCGCCATGGACCAGGCCAATTTGCTTGAGTTTTCAATTCATGAAGCGTGGAGCAGCAGGCTCCTCAAAGCTCGCATAGACGAGCCACCACCCGGCTATGCTGGTGTGAGTTGGTCGCAGCTCGAAGCTGCGGACAGGAAGCTGTTCGCTGAGCTTGCGGACGCAACCAGAAATGGTGTACAGGCTACAGCTGCCGGTCGGCCATTAGATGAAGCTTTTGAACCAAGTCGGAGGTGCATTTATTCCTCCCATTGCCCCAGGCGAAGGCCAACAATCCCGAGACGACTCGCCAAGCGGGTGCGCCAAGTAGCGCAGCTCGCAGATCCGCTCCTTATGCTGCCAAGGGCCAAGGAAAGAGCAAAGGGCGGATGCCGGCGGGGCTCTGGGGGTGCAAAAGTTGCACCAACGCAGGCACCCCGATCTGTTACGGGTTCAATCTCAAGACGTGTTCCGAAAAAGTCGAAAGAGGCCGGTGCCCCAGGGGGGCTACACATTTGTGCTGTGCCCAAGTGCGGCAAGGCGCATGCCGCCCTCGATTGTGCGATGAAGCCAAAGGAAGCGAGTTCGTGACTAGGGACAAGTGTCCCTAGCCCGACTTGCAACAGCCCCGTGGCTGAGGCCCAGGTGCCACCAGGCCCTTGGCCTACCTCTCAAGGGGAGGACGAAGATGTTGTCACTCAAAGTGACGACAGCTCAACATCAAAAGATGATGTCTTGGCCCGTGCCAAAAGACGACGTACTACAAGTACGCCCGATGCTCTCAAGGAGCATTCGGAAGGCGCTGTCAAGGGCAGCGGGGATTGGTTGTGCATTGAAACATGTGCTGGTTCTGGGATGCTTTCCAGTGTGTTCAAACAGTTTGGCTTTCGGACTCTGGCTGTTGATTTCAAAGGAAATAAACAGAAGCCCTATGTCCATGTCCTGAAGATGGACTTACGCAAGCCAGCCACATGGGACTATTTGCAGTTCGTCGTTCTGAACCATAAAGTCCTTTATTTTCATGCTGCCCCGCCCTGCGGGACAGCGTCGCGCGCACGCGATCGGCGTTTGTCTTCCGATCAACACGGACCGCCTCCGTTGCGGTCACAGCAATTTCCGATGGGTTTGCCATCGCTTTCAGGAGCCAATTTACAGCGTGTCCAGTCTGCAAATGCAATTTATTTGCAGCTCGCGACATTCTGCTCGTGGCTACATTCGCTGGATGTCTGGTGGGCCATCGAAAGCCCTACCCGCAGTTACATTTGGGAGATTGACGCGTTCGTGGAACTCTCTGCTCGTGCAGCCTTTTATGATTTTCATGTTTGTCAGCATGGTGGAACGCGTGACAAGCTGACTGCGATTCTGTCCAACTTTGCGCCTTTTTCTGAATTGCAACTGTTCTGTGAAGGTGAAAGTGCTGACCACAGGCATGACGCCTGGGGTCTTATTCGGGGCACCGATGGGTCTTGTCAGAAGACGAGCTGATGCAGAACTCGGTTTTCACGAGGCCGGCGCTACTGGGGAAGCTCAAAGCTACCACTTGCGATGAGGATCACCGGATGTTGTGGGACCAAACGATACAGGAGACAACAAATGCAGGCTGGTTGTCGGGGCCTTTCACTCTAGAAGAGTTGGATGCTCGGTGGCCTGATGGCTGCCGGTCCGCCGATTCGGTCTCAAGCAAGGCTCCAAGCTCAGAGCAATTGATGATTTCACCGAGGCGGGCGTGAACCTCGCGTTCGGATGCGCTGAAAAGGTGGACTTGGGAGCCTTGGAAATGCTTGTGGGGATGTTGATGATTGTGAGACGCGCGGCCGACTCGCCGGAGCATTTTGAGATTTCCCTTGCTTCCGGCCAACCGCTGAAAGGACAACTTCATTCTTGTTGGAGGTCCAACCCGGACGCGTTGCAACCATGGATCAGGACAGTCGACCTCAAGTCGGCGCACAAACACTTTGCAGTGAACCCGAGAGACTACTGCAAGTCTGTTGTCTGCTTGAAGGACCCGGATGACCACACTCTCAAGGGTTTCGTCATGCACACATTGGGGTTTGGCGCCGCTGCTTCGGTGCTCCGCTATAAGGTTGGGGAGATTACTCTGGAGGCTGGGAATAGAACTCGGCGTTCTTTGGGCCAGTTATTATGATGACTTTCCCATTCTAGGGACAGCTCCGTGGCAGCGGTGAAAGTTCTGACCGACCTACTCGGGTTTCGGTGTGCGTTTGAGAAGGAGCTGGAGTTTTCACAAGCGGCCGACCTGTTGGGTATTCGTTTCGACCTGTCGGAGTTTCGCCACGGGAAGGTTTTGATTGCAAATGAGCCGGGACGCGTGGAGGCCTTGATCCCCTTCATGAAGGAGACCATTGCTACCAAACAGTTGTTGAGAGCAGCTATGCCGTCAATGCTTGGGCGTTTGCTATACGCGGATGCCCAGGTTACGGGACGTTCTGGCAGATTGGCAGCGGCGGATCTGAGGGTTGTTTGCAATGGGAACAAAAGACTGGTACATTTATCAAGCGCGCAAGTGGATGCATTGGGCGTTTTGCTGGAGCGTTTGCAGAATGGCGTGCTCCGATGCATCTCGCTTACCAAAGAACCGCCACTCCTGGTCTTTACGGATGGAGCTTGCGAAGGCGGCACTGACGGAGACCCGTTTTGTGCGAGTGTCGGGGGAGTGCTGCTGGAGCCTGAAAAGCAACCCCAATTCTTCTCGGGTCTAGTACCTGACAGTCTCACCAATTTGTGGACTGATGCGGGGAAGAAACACTTGATCGGTCAGGTCGAGCTCTATGCCGTGATCTTGGCGAGAGCAGTGTGGAGCGAGTGTATCAACAACTGCAGGGTTATTTTCTTTGTGGACAACATGGCAGTTCTCGATGCGCTCATCCGGGGGAATTCGCGTGAGCCCACTTGGGGAGCGCTTCTGTTGCAGTTTGAGCGCGACGACGGGAGTGCTCCCTGCTTCCCGTGTTCTGCCGTGTGCCGTCAGTTTCAAATGTATCTGATGGACCCTCAAGGGGTCAATTCCAATCCATGAAAGTCTGGCAAGCGGTCGGGATCCGGCCTGAGTGCCCGATCACGCATGACAAGCTTCGCAGCATAGGTGTGTGAGCACCGGTGAAAGGGGGGGAAAAGTCCTGCTCCACACACGAAGCATGATTGCATGGCGTGGGGCCAGGAGGGCACGTGCCACTAACCCCCGTTTCGCCTTGGAGAAAAGCTGTATGTTGTAAGCTAGTGCTCATGCGCTAGCATGATAACGTTTTACAACATCACTGGCCCGCATTTTCCGGATGTGGAAAATGGTTGCTTTGAAGAGATGGGGGTTGTACAAGGAAACACCCTCAGCTTATGGAGCTTGAGTGTGTCGTGAACTTGCGTCATGACAACTTCGTCTGCACATGTTACGGAACACGTGTTCTCGCAACATTTGCTTTCCAGTGGGCGGGTGTGGAGGGTTTTCCCCATTTGAACGCAAGGTCGTTCAATTTTTGTCCCACCCGCCCCCCCTTTCGGGGGAAAAGTCCTGCCCCACACACGAACCATGATTGCATGGCGTGGGGCCAGGAGGGCACGTGCCACTAACCCCCGTTTCGCCTTGGAGAAAAGAGTGCTGTGCTGCGTTTTTCAGTTTCGGTCAGACCATTTATAGGGTTTCGAAAACAAGATGTCCAGAGGCATCGAAGCAGTGATGTAAGGTTCAGACAGTGACACTGTTCCTCCCTCCGCCCATCTTGCCACTCCGCCTGTATGTTGTAATACATGCTTTCTCTAGCAGTACAGTTGTGCTACACCCGCTGCCCACACATCTCAAGGCCTTGAGCCTATGCACAGGCCTGCCTTAGTACAGCTACAGTAGACAGTACAACATTGCCCAGAGAAAAACAACTGCGCTTCACTTCACACACAGGTTCATCACATCAGGCAAATAGGTATGCAGTTGCTCCAAGTTTAACAATATGATATATATATATATATTTGAAGCAAACGTATTTGAGCCCTCAGCAAAGTTGCAAAAACAGTCACACTAAACAGAATCAGGGCCTCTTGCGGGCAACTGTGTGTCCTTACTTTGTGTAGAGAAGCTATCCTAATTGTGCCGGTTTGGGGACCACTTCAAAGAGGAGGTCCTGATTTATTCAGGGTACCCATGCAAAACCAGGTGCGCCATTACGGGGCCTTACAGTACTCAATACTTATTGATATCATGAACTTACATCGTCAATCAGTTTCATGTTGAAAATCGATTCAGGTTGAAAGGAAGCACATGGCTCGCTGACGCATGGCGGAAAACGCATTGATTATACTGCGCATAGCCCACGACACGGATCTCGACTCCCTAAGCCGGGTCGGGCCATGCGAGAGCCCGACAGGACTCGATCACTACTGGCCGGGGCGCCGGGCGAGTTGGCGAGTTTGCGCAGTTTCGTTCTGCACGTTGGATCAGGTCACACGGCTCGACAGGCTGAAGGGAAGGCCTTGGGCGGGCAGCAGGCAGAGGCGCATCGGGAGCCAAAAAATGAGAAAACGAGAAAACAAGGCCCACAAGGTTTGTGCGTGCACTCAGGGCTTCTTTACGGCGATTGTCGCAGCGCTCTCCACCTTCGCCATGTCCAGTCTGCAACATGTGCCTGCCATGTTTGAGCACCGTGCCATGTGGGATATACCGGGACAGTGGAGTCTCGGAGAGATTCATGCCGCAGCCATGGCCAATCATGAAAAGCAAGAGTCTAGAAGACAGTGCGCCTATGTGCCTCACCCCTCAAAAATGTCGGAGGTTGAGTTTTGAATGCGCTAAATGATCTGACTCCGTCATGTGGGCCCGCATCACAGGCCCGGAGAACCTGACGGACTGCATGTCGTTTCATTTTGTTTTCTCCCGGCAGGATGCCGCGCTGTTTGGAGGACGCAGGCGCGCTTCGCCACCACGGAGGGCCCCTTCCTGTACCGCTACAAGGGCAAGCGCATCAGCTGGAAGCGCGGCACCCAACGACTCTGAGTGGACAGAGTCGACAGAGTCGCGGCCGAGCGAGTTGCGAGTGGGTTGCAGAGTTGCAGGAAGAGGCACTATGGCGAGGTGCTCATCATGGCAGACCGCAGGAAGTTGCTGGACACCCTCCAGGAATCCAACTCGGACAAGCTCGGAAGCTCGGAAGCTCGGAAACTTGACAGACCTGCAAGGATGTCATAGATAGTGGTCGAGAATATCCCAATGCCTTCTGGGAGATCCTCGCAAAGAGGTGCGGACGTGTGCTTGTGCTTGGCCATTGCCGATTTGGCTGCAAAAAGGCAGAGCCAAGTGCCAAGTGCAGTCAGACTCGGATTCCGGCCTTGTGACAAATCTACCCCGGTGCTGTTTCCGCTTGTTTTTTTTTTTTTTTTTTTTTTTTTTTTTTTTTTAAATATATATATATATATATTGTTTCGGTAGTGGTAATTTCTCACGTGAGGTGCCTGAAGAGCTTGCATTTGCTGGAGCCGCTGGAGCTGGGCATCGTGGCCCGGGCCTTCGAGCCAAAGCCTCAAGGCCGAAACCGGAAACCGGAAAGTCAACCGGAAGCCGTTCCGGCTTAGGACGGGGCGGGCACACACGGACATCTTCCGGCCCATGGCGGTGCAGGCAGGAAGAGGATGGAAGAGGATGCAAGAGGATGGAAGAGGATGGAAGAGGATGGAAGAGGATGGAAGGGGGGAAAGAGGGGAACGAGGGGGATACGGAATAGCTGGAACGGAGTAGGGAATTTCGAATAGGACGGAATTTGGAGTTGTTTTCCGTTTTCAGTTCTTTCCTTTCCAAAAGAAAATCTTCCGGAAGTGGCGTCCGCAACGTCTTTCGTCCTTGTCGTCTTTCGTCCTTGCGCAGGTCATCAACAGCCGCAGCGCGGTGCGCCCGGAGCAAGCGGAGCCGGAAGCGGCAAGCGGAGTGGCCAGGTCGGGGGCTTGGCCATCGTCGTGCTCTCCGAGATCTTGCCTCGGCGCTTGAAGACCCAGGCGACGTTTCCGGAGGTGTTATCGGTTCCAAAAGGTGTTTAGTTCATTTTAGTAGAAGTTTTCTCTTGAAGTTTTCTCTTTGAGAAGTTTCAAGGGTTTGAAGGATCGGGCCGTCGAGAAGGGTTTGAAGGAGAATGACATCGAAGTGAAGTGCAAGAGACTGCCAGGAGGAGTCCGTGGAACTCTTGACCGTGTTGGCGAGGCGTGGAGAGGAGCGCTCAAGATGCCCCAGATCCCTCAAACCCGAATCCATGCAGAGTCCCTGTTGCCATTCTTTGCCGAACAAACCTATTAGCAATTTCTCAACCAGCAATCGAGCACTTCCCAACCCAAATTCACTCTGCACCTCACCCAGTTCCCATGGCAAACTGTGAAAGACATTGCCAGACACAGGCCTTGTGTTCAGCAGGGTATTGGATGCACCCACACAGCAGTTTAGCAAAAATTTGATGGTTCATCGCATTCACTACGACATGCCATACAATATGAGTAGCATTATCATAAAATATAACCACACAATTTTTATTTATGGTATATATGTATTGTACCCTTTGCGGGAAAGACATGACTGGTGCATTGGCATGATATACAAGATCAGAGGAGTGCACATCAGCACGCATTATGCACATTAGGATTGCACCAAGACTTGTTGTTTCAGTGTTATATACGAATTCCACTGGTCCCGCATGCCACATCCGCAAGCAACTTGCTATTTGTGGAGAACTGAAGTGAGAACTTTTACCCTCCGCCTGTGAGGCGCGCATCGGACGTGATGTGGGACTGCCGGGTTTCTCTGCAGTTTTCTGCGCGCGCTGTCTCCCGATTTGCTTGCGGATTGGCGTCAGGAGATCCCAGTGGAATATGCCGTGAAGCTGGTGGAGGTCTGGTCTGTGTGCCGGTTCTGCCGTTTCTGCGAGTTCTGCCGGTTTGTTTCGTGCGCAGGTGCTATCCGAAAGGGGTGTGCAGGATGCGGCACTCTGCAGACGAGTGGCCAAAAAGCTGGAAGTTCACCTGTCCACCTGGCCTTGTACTTTGCTTTGCTTTCTGCTTTTGGTTTTCTTGTTCCGATGTTTCCACGGCCTTTTTCATTTTTCCTGGTTTTCTTCCCGACTTGGCCAGGGAAGATTTCGGTGATGGAGGGCTCTTGGGGCGGGCAGCGCTCGCCTTCGCGGGGCAAGGCCGATCCACCCAGATTTCGAAAGGCGAACACCTCCGCCCGAAACGGGGAAACGAAGGAAACGAGGGAAACGAAGGAAACGAAGGAAACGGGAGAGGGAGCAAAAAAGACACAGAGTGTTCCAAAGCGAATGATTGAAGAAACTAAGTTTCAGAAGGCATCCGAAGTCGCTCAGACCACCGGGACCTCGAGCTCTTCCGGTGCCTTGCGGACGAGGCCACCCGCGGCCTCGCAGGCGACGGGGAATGGGACGCGGGGAATGGAATCGCCGAATCGCCGAATCGGAAGCCTATGCCAGGGAGGTGAAGGTATCGCTTCTGAAGAAAAGTTGGCTTCGACTCGTGTGACTTGGATGTTTTCACTCGTCCCGTTGACAAGCTGTTCACGTGGAAGCTAGAGCGGGCAGTAAGTTGATTCATTTGGGGGGATTGAATCAAATCCGTGAGTGGATGTGCATGTGTTTGCACAAGGGGGCCAGCCCAGGCCCTGCCTAGCAAATTGGCGCGTAGCCCACAAGACTTCAGCATGTTGGTTTCTGTGCAGCCTTTGTAAGGGCTCCCGTAGCCGAATTTTCTTCGGCAATTCAAGTCTTGTAGCCACAGGGTGCATGGCTCGAGCCCGAGTCAACGGAAATCAAAGTGGGCAAAGGTGGGCAAAGGCTCGAAAGCCGAAAGCACACGCCTGCCTTGAGGTCCGGAGCCCGACGTGTTGTCGGCAGAGCAGGTCTTGAAAGGCCTTGACCCGAGACTCGAGCGTGTTTCACCGTGCGATCTCGAGGCTTGGAGAAGCTGGACATCGACATCAAGGAGGCCCGAGCCGTAGGCGTTCATTTTCAAGGGGAAAGTGGAGAAAGGAAGAGAGAGAAAGAGAAAGGGAGAAAGGGAGAAAGAATCGACGTGAAGTTTGAGGAATCGCATTGCGAGCGCCGTGGCTAGGCGAGTTTGCTTCGGAGCGCCTTGAGTGCCTTCAGCGATCCAATGGATTCGCCTCGATCGGAGTCCCGGCTTTGAAGCGGAAAAGGGTGGCAACACGAGAGAGAAGATGGGAGTTCGGAAGTGAAAGAGAGAAGTTTTGAAATGAGACATGGACTGAGATGGATTTGAGAACTTTGAGGGGTTGCGAGCCGCGCGAGCCGCGCGAGTCGCGCGAGTCGAGTCGCCAGGTGCTGAAGCGGCAGCTCTGGGTGCCGCCCTTCGGCGCGGTGGCGCTGATCTTCGCGGCCGACGCGGTGGCCGCCGCCAAGGAAGGCCGGACGCGAACCCGAGTGAGAGAGGGAATTGGGAGAAGTATTTGGGAGAAATATGGGAGACATATTTGGGAGACATTGGAAGTGAAAGGAAGATGGAAGTGTGAAGCAAGTGAGGGGAGAGGGGGCTCAAGGGAAGATCATGTGCTTCAAGACGATGCGGAACACGACTCTCAAGGCCCTCTCATTGGCATGCCTCAATATGTCGCATGCTCGTCGCATGTCTCGAATATTCTGAAACCCTGTCTTAGGCTTGCGTGGGCGTCGCTGGGGCCTGCTTGCTCACGGTGCTGTTGGCCCGCCTGTTGGGCCCTCGGGCCCTCGGTCCCCATCATCGCCGCCATTTCGAAGTCTGAGGCTTGGTGACAGCCCGTCAGTTCTGCCTGGCCCCCGGCCATCCCAGCCATCCCGGCCATCCCGGCCACAGCCTCGGGGATGTGATTGGAATGTTCACAGGCGGGCCTCGGCCATGTTCGTGGCCGCCCTCTCTATGGCTGGCACCCCAGCCGAAAGCCCCGAGCATCTGGAATCAGACTATCCATCGGCTATCCGTATCTTCCATGGTCCGAGCCCCGAGTCTGCCAACCCCAGCAGTGGCTACTTCCCGCCGGCGGGGGCCCTTTGTGCGCTTTACGTGGAGAAGGCGAGGAAGAAACGACACGGGCAAAAGGCAAAAAGATGCAAAAAGATGCCAAAAGGCAAGAAACAGAACCTAGAGACATCTAGAGACATCTAGAGACATCTAGAGACATCTAGAGACATCTAGAGACCTAGAGGGAGGCAGAACCTCATGGCGGCTTAGTGAGCGAGGCTGTGGTGAAAGGGGCCCTCCCGGGCTTCGAGTACGCGCTTTTCCCCTGCGCCACTGGAGTGGCGCTTTTGCCCGGGGCTCAGAAAGAAAGACCGGTAGCGGCGACGGAAGACGGGAGGCTGGTCTTCAGCCGCGTCTTCACCTTTATGATGGCTCAACCTCTTTGGGTGCTTCGACCCAGGTGCGCCGGTGCCTGCGAATCACTTGCGCATATCACAGATGGCTGGATCCGAGGAAAGGTAAGGATGAGAAGGAGTTGCTGGGCGCATAGGTGGCTGATGGTCGCTTTCAGCACTTTACATGAACTCCCGGTGCCGAACCCAAGGTTGACTCCATGAGTGAGCAGATTTGCTTGCGCAGCTGCCTCAGGACGAAGTCCTATGGCTGTTTGCGCCAATGTTGAAGTATTGCGATTTGAGTGAAATGTACATACTTGGACCATGTACGTCTTGCACCGAATCTTCTCCCTTTTCGTCACACGTTTCCGAAGGGCCGCAGGGCCAGTCCAAGCTCAGCAAAACTGGGCTCCCTTCCAGTTTGAGCCGATGAGCCTCTTGCGAGTCAAGAGTGAGTGCCAGGGTTTCGCAAAAGGGCCGTCAAGCGTTTGAGTGGCTGAGAAGTCGCATTGTTGTGTTTTGGAGAGAGGGCAACCCCGCAGCTGTTGTCACATGAGAGCCATGGATGGCATTGGTGAGTTGGAATGCCGCCATCTCGGCATGCAGGCGGGCAAGGGGCAAGGACAAATCAGGCCAAACACGCCGAACACGCCAAACAGGCCCAACACAACGAGGCGCCGCGCAGATTGGGAAGCTGCACTTGTTGGGGACTCGGCCCCACTCGGCCCGACTCGGCCAGCCTGGGCACAGGCCGCGCCCGCGCCAAGAGACTGACACCAACATGAGGCCCTGCTCCGAGCTGTGCGGCAGCGCCGGCCTCAGCCGCATGCTTCGCGTTTGGACCCGGACTGAATGGAAATGAAAGGAATACAGAAAGCCAATTTGTCCCGTGCCCCTTTTGTCTTTCCACCCAGGCCAGACATTGTAAGTTTCACAGCAGCGGCCAGCGCCTGCGAGGCTGCACGACAGGCAGTATCCACACCATAAGCTGTTCCCATTTCTTCCCTTCTCTTCTCGCCCTGTCTCTCTCTCCGGTTTTTCAATCTCATACTCATGATTCTTGCTCGCCAGTGGCAGCACGCCGTGGCCCTCCTGAGCCGGCCCAAGCTGGACGCGGCAGCCTGCAGTGCCTTGGCTCGGGCCCTCGGGCCCCGGTGTGGCGTGACCGGCGCGACGTTCGAAAAGCCACAGCCAAGTACCAGGTGAGTTGCTGGGGCCGAGCAGGCATGGAGTGGAGACAGTCGAGACAGTCGAGAGTTGAGATGTCGAGCGAGTGCAGGCAAGTGGCACCATGCGTTGGAAGCTTTGCGGCCCGGAGGCACGGCATTGTGCGCTTGACAGTTCGGACTGCTCGAGCTCCGGAGGCTTTGCTGTCCGGTGGCGTGCGGATCCCCGGCTTTTTCGCCGCAAGCTTCGCTTTGCCCTTTCTTGTTTGAAAGATTTTGAAAGGCTGAGTCCCTTGAGGCTTTCACCTCGTGGTGCGCGGCGCGGCGATCGCCGCGGTGGCGCGGGCACGGCGCTGGCGCGAGGCCTTGCTGCTGCTCCAGGACTCCAATTGCACGAAATCCGAAATCCGAATGTCGAGACATGTTAGGAGGCGGCCGATGCACGGCATGAGCAAGACGAGGCGCGAATTGACGCGGCACATTTAGGAAAAGTTTATTGGCACTCGAGGTAGGCTACGCGGCTGCGATGCACGGCTGCACCTCCAGGTGGCAGGTCGCACTGCAGCTGCTGGCTGAGATGCCTCAGCGGCGGCTTCAGTGGAACCAGGCTCCGACCCGAAGAGAAAGGATCAAGAAAGATGAAGGTGCTGCTGTTGAAACGCTCAAGTTGAAGGTGCTCTTTTTGTACCTTGACGTGACTCTCTCCCTCTCTCTGCATGGGAACCGGCTCCCCCGAGGGGAGGGAGATCCAGCCACTTGCAAGCGCCAACGCAAGGTGTAAATCGGAGATGCCGAGCACTGGTTGGTGTTGGAATAGACAGAGGCCAATGCTGCAATGCTGGCAGAAGCCAGAAACACAACGCAGGAAGAGCGACGAGGCATCACAAGAGAGGAAATGAGGCTTGCTAAGTGCACGTTTGCAGTCGGCCGTGCTTACTGAAAGGATGGGAAATGGAAGCTGCTGTTCAGCAAACGCCACTCGCGTTGCTCGTTCCGGTTTTTTGGTTCTGCTAAAGTGAGTTGCGACGCCCGAGTTTGTTGAGCTCTTTGCTTTTCAGCCTGCTAGGTGCTGGATTGGAAGAGGACAGGAGTTTGACAGCTGAGCAGACACTTGATCCAATCAGAAACGAGGAACAAAGACAGCGAAAGGACAACCGGGCAGACACGGGATCGATACAGGGACTCAAAGTGAAGCAAAACGCCAGAGATATACAGGGAAAAGGGAAGAAAGGACAACTGGGCAGAGATGGGACCAAGCATGGAGGAACAAAGAAGGAGAAGGAAAGGAAGGAAACAGGGCCGGGATGGCAATAGAGGGCAGCCGGGAATAGAACCTAGATCGGAAGGAGTACAGACAGGGCAGACACGGAAGGGTAGAAGCAAAACACAAAATGGGCGGGAACCAGGAGGATCGTAAAAGTGAGTTGGAGCACAGAACGAGACAGAGGAGTTGGAGCGCAGAATGAGACAGAACAATTAGGCAGACACGAAATCGAACAAGAAGGAAACGAAGAAAGAAACCAGACTCGGCAGACAAGGGGGTCAGAAAGACAGGAGAAAACTGGACACCGCCGGCATCACTGTTGTGGCATCCCTTGCTTGACCAAACATAGATGTTGCTTTGTGTCGGCTCAACAGGTCGACTGCAGAAAACCGGACGCTCAGCTAACGCACTCCGTCTCGCCAAGCCGGACCGGCGCTTCAAACTCTGGCCCCACGTACAGGGGTCGAGCCAGCGGATAGTCAAAGCGAGCAGATATTCGCTAAGACGTGTATATGTTCTTGTTTGCACACTATCATTACAATTTTATGCATTTGTCAGTGCAAGGTGGTGCTCAACACCGCGATCAGCGCGTGCGAGGCAGGGCACCGCTCCCTGGCAGCACATGCGTCAGAAATGGGAATCCAAGCCGAGCCCGATCTGACGATTTGGTTCTTTGCACGAGGTTGGCAGCTGGCTGTGGCGCTTTTCAGCCGTGTACGTCCCAGAGCCGACAGCCGAAGCCTCAAAGCGAACGTGAGCTGAAGAGAGATGAGCTGCGAGCCGTGTGCCTCGAAGGCCTCAATGCGGCCATGGCGGCTTGCGAGAGGCCCGTGCGGCCCGAAGCAAAGATCCTCGCTCTCAGCGCAACCAGGGGCCACCAATGGCAACAAGCGCTGGCACTTCTTGCAGCTGCCTTTGCATCATCAATTCCTCTTGTCTTCATTTGCGGTGCCGCACAAGAATCTCAGTCTCGGCTGAGGAGACTTCATGGGCCAGGTCAGCGCATCCAGCGCATTTCCGAAAGCCAGACTTATTCTCGTCACAGTCAGTCAGTGAGCCCAGGGTGAGCCCATCCAGCTTGACCATGGTGGCTGCAAGCCTACAGCAGCGGTTTCGGATCGTTTCCTCTCGTTTCGTTTTTGTTCGTATCTCGGTCGGTTCGAGGTGATCCTGGCAGCGTGCGCCACTGGAAGCCTTTGGCAGGCCTGCGGAATGCACGGCATGGCGGCACGCACGCGGCATGGCGGCGCGCACGCGGCATGCAGGCGGCGCTGTCCTGGGTGTTCCGAGCCTGGAAAGATCACAGTCGAGGCCTCGACCTTTCTTATGATTTGTTGTTTTCGCATTGCGTTGAATCTAAGGCTGTCCTGATACAGACACAACATGTGCAAGCCCTACTGACCTTCCGTGGTCCTGTGCCGCAATGAGATTCCGGCTTAAAATGCAATTGTCTCTCAGGCTTGAACGCAGCTCTGAGTGCCTGTGCGCGAGCTGCACGCTGGGAGCAGGCGGGAGGCGCATCTCGGCGACCCGGAAACTTCGAGCGCAAAGGCCTCGGCCCTGCTGTCGTGTCCGGTGAGGAAGGCGATGCGATCGGATCGATCGAATGGGCATCGCATGGGCATCGCATGGGCATCGCATGGGCATCGCATGGATAGCTTTGTACATAGCTTTGCTGTGCTTTGTAGCTTTGTGCCTTGTCGGCAGGACTTTGTCAGCTATGCCACTGCGTGCCGCTCCAAAACATGCGTTCCCGTGTCGTGTGCCTGCGCATTTGGCAGAAACATGTGACTGTGGTGAGAGCTGTTTGGGCCATTTGAGTTAGCACTTAGGCTCGAGGCCTTCAAGACACGCGGATCGCGAACGTTGCAACTGCTTTGCCCCAAGCTCTTCAACTCGAGGGCCGCACAGCTTTAGAGTCTTTGAGGCTCCAAGATGCGTCTGCCAACCGCGTCGGAGCCTCGACGAATCTCTGGCCGACCTTGACTGCCATGAGTGAGGTGGACCTCAATGCAAGAGCCGAAGGTCTGGCGGAATATCGAAAGCATCGCCGTGTCACGGCGAGTGAGGCCGGGACGCTTGCCCGGCTTGGGTCGTCTTGATCCTTTCAAGGCAGAGCCGGACCTGGCTGCCACACGGGAAGCTGCTCAGCTGTGGGGAGCCAACACGGCTTGAGTGCAAGAGCGCATGCGTGATGCATCGGAGGAGTCATCTTGCCTTCCGAGCGGCGCAAGGACCCGTGCGAAGCTGGACTGGCTCTCACGGTGACGCAAAAGCCGAAGGACGATGACAGCGTGCGACGAGGACAAGCAACATGGGCTCTGAACTAAGGCATATGCATCAAGCTGAGAAGCACGAGGCAGCTCTGCATTGTGCCAGGCACTTCACGGATTGAGAGGACGCGAGGTGCGAAGCGTGCATTCCTTCTCCGTCTTGGCATAGCTTTGCTCGTCAGGTGTGCTGACGTCTCGAGATCAGCGATGACCCAACGGCAGCTTTGCACAGATCCAGCCTTGGGCCCGCCGGGGCCAGCAGGTGCCTTGAGCTCCTTGCAATGCGCTCCTTGCGCTGAGTCCGTTCGGAGCGAAGCGCCCAAGGCGCGAACGCTGTGAAGTACCAGGTGCATTCAGCAAACTGGCAGGCAGACACGCGAGAGCCTTGTGACTCCGACTCGCAGAAAGGAGCACGCCGCTTTCGTTTCCCAGCCGCACTTTCTCATGTCTTCTTCATTGGGGCGTTTGGCTCGATGGGCAACAGAGAAGGGCAACAGAGAAGGGCAGAGTCACGCACCGCACGCTTGATGCTTCACAAACCTAGCTCGAATAGCCAACTGCCCACATAAGGATCAAGCCGACACGTCAGAGTTCTCACTGTAGCCTCACTCGCGCCAGGGGTGCTACAACGAGGTACACAGACTGAGAGTGAGCCGCAGGATGGCAAGGTGGACAGTGTTTCTGGCACTGGGAGTGCTGCTTCTTGCAATGACTTTCGTAGGACCATGGCCCAAAGTTTTGAAGGGCGGGCCTGCGTTTGCATGTTGACACATGTTGACCATGCAGAGGCAGAGGCAAAGGTACCACGTAGGACCAACGCGCCTGGAGCGCGGCCTTCGCCCAGCGCGGGCGGAGCCGAAGTCAGAGTCGCGGCGGAACTTCTTCCTGGAGACGCTGTCCACGCCCTCCCCGGCCTCTGCGCTCTTCGGCGCCCTGGGCCTGGGGCGCCCCGGCGTATTTTGCTCTCGGATTCCTTCGGATTCCTTCGGATTCTGTGCTCGGATTCTCCGAGGATTCTGTTCGTCCTGACTCGGGAAGAAAAGGCCAGGAAGGCCAAGATCTGTGGCTCAGCTAAACGGGTCCGTGCGCCTGAAGATGCCTTTTGTTTGCATGCGTCCAACTGGGACAAAACCATGGAACCCTTGCCACGGAACGAGATGGAACGTCATGACACCATACGGAACCAAACCCAGGTGTGCGGAGCCAGCAGTACATCGAGGACTACTTGGCAGACCCCGACAAGACGGCCCGACTGGCAGCCAAAGGCGTACCCTACGAATCCATGAGGCTGCTGGACGCAGCTGTCGTGGGGAGTGTGTGTGTGCGTATTTGAGTGTGTGTGTGTGGGTGGGTGCGTGCGTGCGTGCGCGCGCGTGCGCGCGCGCGTGTGTGTGCGTGTGCGTGCGTGCGTGCGTGCGCGCGCGTGCGCGTGCGCGTGCGCGTGCGCGTGCGCGTGCGCGTGCGCGTGCGCGTGCGCGTGGGCGTGGGCGTGCGCGTGTGCGTGTGCGTGTGCGTGTGCGTGTG